TTTCAAAGTAAACAGCATATCTTATCTATAGGTCCACTGCTTTTATCCCAATAAAAATTCATTTCCTTGCTATATTGTTTAGTTTTATTTTCTCATCTATACTATAATTTCCAAATTTTTTCTTTTTTTTCACAAACGAAATCAATATTTTATACATAAGCATACGTGTTGTTTACGTGTCTGTATACGTGTGTTTACATATATTTATGCATTAAAAAATTACTGCAACCTTTGAATGGTCATATAAAATATAATAGATGTAGCAATTAGTTATTTATAAAATTAGCAGAAATTATATACTATTTTTCTATTTATTATTATTATTATTATTATTATTATTATTATTATATTCTCCACTAAATTTTTATTAGTTGTAAAAAATTAACAGTGCATTTTTTTTTATCAAAATAATAATACTACTATTAGTATTAAGCATAGCAATAATAATAATAATGATAATGGTAACAATGATAATGATAATAATAATAATAATAATAATAATAATAATAATAATATAATAATAATAATAATAATAATAATAATAATAATAATTATAATTATAATTATAATGATAACGACAATGATAATGATAATGATGATAGTGATAATGATAATATTAACAATAATAGTGATAATGATAATGATCTTGATGACATATGAGGATAAAAAGTTATCATTAGTTGTGTGTGTAAGAGAGAGAGGAAGAGAGAGAAAGTTTATCCATCCCTTTGCTTGGCAGTAGTATAAATCAGCGCAAAAATACATAATTCTTCATTGCTATACGCATATCACTTGGCATGTTTGTTTGTCCTTTCGTATATATGTATATAATACATACACACACACACATACACACATGCATACACACACATATATATACATTTGTCTGTCTGTCAGCTGAGAAATTTCTTAACAAACGAGAAAATGAAAAATATTCAGATGAGGAAGAAGAAGAAGAAGAGAGAGGTTAAGATGAAAGATTTTAACCAACAAAATGATCATTTTCTTTGGAAAAAGCAAAATAATAATTCATCGTTAAAATGGCGCAAAAGATAAATGCAGCTAGTAAGTGAGTGTAAGCCATATTCATTCATTTAAGCTATCTATCTATCTATCAATCTATCTATTCTATCTAACCATTTTGCATTTATTCTAATCTATTCATATAGCTTTAACATTTTAATTTCGTCCTCTCAATCTTTTCTCTTATGTTTTTCTTGTCAACCTGCTGAGTAGTATAGTAAGTAGGCTGATTAAAAACCAGCCTGCTAATAGTAGTAGTAGTAGCAGCAGCATTTTTCTTCAGCTGTTTAGCATTTATGCATCAAATTTGCTAGTATATAACCGGTCATCATGACAGATTATTTTCGTAGTTTACAAATTGTTGTTTTCATTAAGGCTAATATTTTAAACTTTTCACTGATTTGAATGCTAATAATAATAATAATAATAAATGATGGAAAAGAATGGAAAAGAGGGAGAGAGAGAGAGAGGGAGAGAGAGAGTTCTAAGATTTTAAAACAGTATAAAGCGGTAAAAGAAAGATGGTGAGAAGGAAATGAGGAATAAAATCTGAATGAAAATGGAGCAAGAAAAAGACAGATTGCAAATGAAATGAAATGAAATGAAATGATTGAAGAAAGGAATGAACAGGAAAAAGAGAAAAGATTTGTTTTGCATGTAAATCAAAATTTTTGTTTTTATGAAGTTAAATTATGCTACAAACATCGTTCACAGGTTGCATTTTTGCGCATCTCTTCTCATTTCTAACCAGTTTTTCCTCTCGTATTGTTAATAATCATTCTCTTGTCCATTTATAGGAATTATTTTTATAAATAATGTTATGCCGAAATGAGAAATGAAAAACTTCCGGGTTGATGGATTAATTCTGAAATTTTCCAACATTTAAATAAATTATCACAATGAAAACCAATTCATTCCTATCATCACTACAGTTATCAGTTCAATTTTAGAAATTTGTCAAATTTTAATAAAATTTTCATAGCTAAATAAATTTTTATGCATACTAATTTTTAATCAAGTAAGCGGATTAGATGACAATACATTGACAGATGTAATCCTAAACCACGCAGATTAATTATACTCATTATCAGTAGTAAAGTCACATTGAAATTACTCTTTTCGAACGGAAAAGAAAAACAATTCGGTTCAGATAGAACAAGATATTTTTCCGCCTTTTTTTATCTAAATTTCTAATACGGTTTCAATTTCCTCATTGGCTAATATCCGGTATTGTTGAAGAATTAATTATTTGAGTTAAAGCTGCTTCATTTTCTCTATTCCTGGCATGTTAGATTTAAATAACCACGCAGATTAATTATACTCATTATCAGTAGTAAAGTCACATTGAAATTACTCTTTTCGAACGGAAAAGAAAAACAATTCGGTTCAGATAGAACAAGATATTTTTCCGCCTTTTTTTTCTAAATTTCTAATACGGTTTCAATTTCCTCATTGGCTAATATCCGGTATTGTTGAAGAATTAATTATTTGAGTTAAAGCTGCTTCATTTTCTCTATTCCTGGCATATTAGATTTAAATAACCATGATTATAATTTTTCTAAATGAATAAATGAATAATTTTTTGTATCATTCATTTCCGAAAAAAAACTTTCCGGAAATGAATGATACAGTCTTGTAATGAATAGTAGTACTTTTTTTTTTAAACTTTCTGTTTATTTCAAATGATTTCCAATTATCATTTCATTTTATACGCTTCATTGAGTCAGTTATTGAACTGTAATTTATTTTTAATTAAAAAAAAAGAAAAAAAGAAAGAGAAGATATTCTCTTCTTACGTTTCTTTAATGAAAATGTAAGCAAGATTATCCCTCTTTTTCTTTTTTGCAAATTATTAAATTATGAATTTGAATGAATTTCGAATTTTGCCATTTTACACTGACTGATGTGCAATAAATAATTTTGTTAACCTAAATATAAATTCTTATTTTTTCTTTGCCAATATCGTCATTCTCTTCTCTTCTCTTCTTCAATAACTAAGTTGTTCTTATTTACGGATTTCCAGTTTTCTTCCAATCAAACAAAATCAACAATTTATCTCGGTGCATTTTATTTGGAAAATATATGAATTTGACGTTTTCTTTTTCTCCTTTATTATTATTATTATTATTATTATTATTATTATTATTATTATATATTATTATTATTATTATTATTATTATTATTATTATTATTATTATTATTAATATTATTATTGTTACGGGAGAAAATTGAAAGAAAATAATACGAGATCAAACAGAAAATAAAATACAGTAAAGAACAATAAGCTACCTAATAATAGTAATAGTACTAACAATAAGTAATTGTAGTAGTAGTTACAATACTGTTAGCAGTTGTAGCAGTAATATTACTTATTGTAACAGTAAATATTAGCAGTAGTAGTAGTAATAGTAGTAGTAGTAGTAGTAATAGTAATACTAGTGGTAATAGCTTATAAAAATGCCTTAGGCGATCGTCCCCTCTTGCTCTTATAACATAAAATAAATAATATAATTCCTCGTGTTTATACGCATATGTTCAGTGAGGCTATTTTTCTTTCAACTCTTATTTTCCTTATTTTTCATTTTAGCTTTTTCATTTTCCAATTTTTTCTTATATTCTAAAGTAGGATGTATATTTGAGAGGGAGAATGAGAGATAGAGAAAGAGGAGAGGGAGGGAGAGAGGGAGAAAAGAAAAAAGAAAGGAGAGAATATTCAATATATTATAATAACAATAACATAGTTTACTATTGGTAGTTGCAGTAGTAGTAGTAGTAGTAGTAACTAGTAATAAAAATGGCAATCATATTGGGGACAGCTCAATTGCACACAAAATGCCTGCAACGTCCACAGCAACAACTTGTGATTTATGAATGTATGTGTATGTATGTATGTAGATATATGTATGTGAACAACAACCGGAAAATTGATGAAATAAGATTGAACTGATGCTTTTCCGTAAACAATACCAATAGATATAAAAATGCAAATAAATAAACAAATAAACAAACAAACATTTATGCATACATACATACATTATATACACATATAATTGATCCATAAAGATTCATAATAAAATGGACATATCTTTTTCTAATGTTACATTTAATAATGGGATAATTTCACTTTTCAACAAATCAACAAACAAGAAATGAATGGTATACAAGAAGAGAAAATTTTGATAAATCATAAATCAACATATAATTATTAATTGTAATGGAAAATAATTTTTATTTCATCTTTCTTCCATTTTAATTAATTAATGCAAATTGAAAATAAAACTACATAAGATTAAATCAATCATTCTTAATAAAAAATACTACTTGCAATTATGATAAAATGATGATTATTTATTGGTTACTCTTTTTTTTTTTCGCTTTTTCTTGTGTTGTAATCAATTTTATATTACAACTTAAAATAGAAATATTTTAATTTCTCTGATAGTAAAAAAAAATGCTCAAAAATATCTTATTTTCAAACCAGTCATTTATTTACAATTATTATAGTAAAATTATTTTATTAATTATATTTTTATTGTAATTTTTTTTACCGTTGAAAAAAAAAAAAAAAAAAAAAAAAAAAAAGATTGAATCTTTAATACTTTTAACAAAATGTTTGCCATAATTATCCATTTAATGTTAAACTTTATGGTAACTATTTGACTTAAAATTCCTATCAAATGACGTTAAAGTTTTTATCAAACTTTTTATGATATTTCGTTTTATCTTTATTAGCCATTATAATTAATTTGAAATGTAATATAGTATAAAATATATTTTTACCTATATTACCATTTATAGGTGTTGGATGGTAGTGAAACTATGAGGGTGATAACGTTTTCACCGGTTCTCCTGATAACATCCTGAAATTACCCTGTATAATAGCAGTGGTAAAAAGCAAGAAGTGAGAAAATTTAGAACGAAACGATTGAAATTTCACAAGAAAAATAATCCAGGAGGACGAGTACCATCATAATTGAATGAGTTATGAGGAATTAGTTGAAGTAGTAGAAACGAACGGATGGTCACTGCAGAGGAGCAACATTTTCATCAAGGTACTTGTTTTTCAATCTTTTTTATTATTAATAATCATAAATGTTTCATTCATTGATCGGAATAGATTGTAATTTTAATTTAGTATAAATAACTAATAAGAAATTTATAATTATTTATATCTTTTTCTTTTTATAACTTTTATAACAATGTATATATGTGATAAGATTGAAATGTAAAGTAAATATCAATCGATGAACACTTTTCATATTAGGCAATAATATCTACATTTTTTAAATGATCATTAAAAAAAAAAAAAAAAAAAAAATGAAGAATATTGTCCAATTATTTAAAATTTTAAATCTTTATAAATATATGTAGCATAACTAAAAATATAACTAAAAATATGATTGAGTTATAAATGCAATTATATCATATTGTATTGACTAGTTAAGTTATCCTGTGAATTTTATTCAATTTTAACCATAAAGGGTTTGTTAATTCAATGAAAGGAATAACTATTTGTTATTTTCAAACTATTTGAAAATGTCTAAATATGCTCATAGCTAATTTATAACATACATTACTTGTACAAATAATACAATTCATATTATTTATTCAATTATAAAACATATATGAAAGGAGAATTAAAAAAAAAAAAAAAAAATTTGAGAGAAAAAAAAAATGCAAAGAAATATAAAAATGAAATTAAAGTTTGCAATCGAAAGAAAAAAGAAAAAAGCTAAAAAGAGCGAGGAAAAAAAACATAAAAATAAAAAAGATGAAATATTCTTGGAAGGAATCATTTAAGCATATCAAATGCTTACATAATTGAATATATATATGTATATATTTATTTTTATATTCATATAAGACAACCAAATACATAACGATGATACTTTTCTTTTTTATATTTTATTGTTGACAATAAAATATCAAAAAAAAAAAAAAAAACTATATTTTTCTTTTCTTTGCCATTTTTCTCTTTTAATTTGTATGTGTTTTTTCGCTTCCTTTCTTTTTATTTTCGTTTTTTTTTTTTTTGTTTTGAAATATTCATGATGAATTTTTCCTTTGAAACTTAGTTTATCTGAATCAACACATGAAAGTATGAAGATAATTGAAAGAAAGAATGGAACTTTTTTTTTTTTTTTAGTCTTTTATTGAATTCAATTTTTTCCATTTTCTTCCTTCTTTTTCTAAGCGTTATTTGTTTTATTTTTCTTTTTTCATTTATTTTGATATGATTTTTCAATTAATTTTGCAAATTTGACATTTTTATCAATTAGTGTATTCAATGAATTAAATGGTTTAAAAATTTATTAATGAATAATTTTTTAATCAGGCGGTGGTTTCCTTCCTTTTTTTTTTTTGAATTTTTTTATGCATCTTTTGAATGAGGGGGTAAGATAACTTTCTTATCTATCTTTACCCGAATGAATTATTTCTCATTAATTATTATTTTTTTTTTTTTTTTCATTAATGACAAATTCAACCTAACATAACGTTAACATTCTTTTTAATGAAAATAGCATTTCAGAATTATACCGATAATACACGTGGCTTTTATCCAATGCAGCACGATAAGAACGTTACTGGAACGGCTGGCGTAAGTCTATCGTCTATCACACCTTATGATAGTTTCGTCCAACAACAACAACAACAACAACAACAGCAATCATCAAGTGGTAGTTCAGTACTACCAACTCGATTAATATCATCTCTATCTTCTGAGCTATCAAATTTAGATGGAGGTGATTCGCAAGATTCATTGCAACAGCAACAGAATGATACGACACAAAAATTGCTAGCTCATCTTAGTTCAACTATTAATAGTGGTCCTTCTGTACCACATGTAACAACAACAACAACACCTCAACAAGCTTACATAACTGCTGCAGCTGCAGAAGAAGCTAAATTAATGGAAACCAGAAAGCAGGAACTTCTCCAAAAATTACAACAACAATTAAATAGTAGCAATAAAGTATCCGCTAATGGTACCACTAATGCAACCGTTGCAGCACAACTTTGGCTACAGCAAAATTGCGCTGCATTGCAGCAGCAGCAACAGCAACAACAACAACAACAACAACAACAGCTGGCGAATAAGATAAATCAAAATCAATCCTCGATTATTTTGACCAATCATTCGACTACTGCAAATCTGATACCTGAAACACATCAAATTCAACAGGATGTTAAGCAGCAGCGAACTTCATTCCTGAATTCCGATTATCAGCAACTTGTACAAAATGGTGATTTACGATTACAGGATGAAAGTGAACAGCAGTTTTTATCAGATGTTAAAACTGTTACAGTATCACAACATCATACATCTCTATCACCACATCCTGTGGTACATACCGATGATGGTTCCAGTGCTTTCCGGCTGCTGAATCAAAATATGGAAATGCGGCAAGATCGTGCTATTACTGCTACAGCAGTAATAACTCGAGATTGTGATGATGTATCAAATTTTGCAATACCATCATCATCATCATCGTCAACTTCCTCTTTTGTGACATCATTGTCACGGAATCATATCACATCCGTAGAAAGAGATTATCATCATAACGGAGAAGATGATACAATTGAATCGAAACTTGTCATCGGTGATATCGAAATGACCGATGATTGTAGTAAAACTGACAAAACTATTAACATTGATGAGTCTTATTCAGTTAGCAAGATAACTGATGAAGGAGGAGGAAATGAACAATCATTATTAACAACCGGAATCAGTAATGAAATTATTGGCATCTCGACATATGCAACTATGGGTTCGGTAATTCGTACGGATAGCGATGAATTTACTGAAAAAACGGATAATGTCGATGAACAACCACGAATGAAATCTATTTTAGATTTTGGTGAATTTTACTTTTTCTATTTACCAAGCAATAGAATGAAAAGAAAAAAAGCAGGTTATTCATAAAAGTGTCTCAGTGAATGTACAACATTAAATAATCGGATAGCAGTTTTTATTTAGCTTTTAAAAAAAAATTTAAAATTGTATTCAACCAAAAAAAAAAAAAAAAAAACATTTAAATTAGTAAAATTACATAAATTACATACATAATTCGTTTCATTTTTTATTTTTCTCTCGTACTCATACTGTATAACAAAAGTTCCGGAAGTGAATGATATTTGTTTCATGATTAGGAATAAAATGTGCTTGTTATTTATTAGAAAGTTTTTTTTTTTTTTTTTTTTTTTTTTCGAGAACTAAATAGATGTTTATCAGTGAGCCTTCTTGATCTTCGAAAATTCCTGATCTTAAAAGATTTTACTCGATTCAGAATCCAGAAATCTTTTTCCGCCTAGTTTTATTTATCTACATATGTGCCCTATTGTTGACAAATACAAACAATGAAACAAAATAAGCATGTGATATGTGATTTTACTTTTTAGTGGATGGAGAAGTGGAAATAGATGTTGAGCACAAAGAATGTGATGAAGATGAAATGGACGAAAAACCGTTAACTGATGATGACGATGCCGGAAGCGGAATAGTTGATGATAGTGAGAGCAGGTATTACAGCAGTTTTTAATTAGAATTTTTTAGTTTTTTTAAACTGTTTTTTATAATTTTGATATTTATGTAAATTCCTTGGTGACATTGTTTCTCAAAGATATTTCTCGAAAATATTATGCATCGTTATTGCAGACTTCTGGTGAGTGGCATGGAATCTCCAGAAATACATGGAACACGTACGGAAACACCGCTTGGACAAACTCGATTTACGGCAATATGCATTGAAGAACGTATCCTAAATGAAAAATTAATCCCTTCTACGACATCGTCAACAGCAACAACCTCACGTTCCGCAGCTAGCAGTGTCAGTCCATGCCATCGTTTAATGCCGCAAACCGCACATGCGGCACCAAGCCCACGATCCGAATCCATCTCAAGTACGCCTAGTTCGTCAACATTTTGCCGTGCTCCTGGCCTAGGCCCGATAAATGTTACGGAAGCGCAACAATCTGGTGCCGCACTTCCGCTTGTCTGTAATATCTGTGGCTTCTCGTGTAACTCTAAATTCCACTACAATTCTCATATGAACACTCATGGTGATCACCAGTGCACAATGTGCGACTATACGTCACGTACGGAGGGACGTTTAAAGAAACACATGCGTGATTCACATACCGTTGAGGAACAACTTGCTGCAGGTCTTGACGTAGAACAAGCGTTAACTAACAGTACTTCTACATCAAGTACACCGGTAGCACGAATCACGACAACACCTGTCGATGCTAGCAGTCTTTCAACCTCAATGGCTTCTGTCCTAGAAGCAGCTAATTTGGCGGCAGCTGCACAAGCTGCGGCACAAGCTGTTGCCGCTAGTTGTTCATCGAACTCAAGCAGTGGTCCAACAACATCAGCACAAAGTGATTCCGGTAGTGGTCTAAGTTTGCCGTCCGGTTCAGGAACTCCACCATCAAGCGATATAATTTCATCATCAAAGCTCTCCGGTGCTGCAAATTCCATAAGTGGATTGGTACCATCTGCTCTGGATCAAATTCGTGCTTTCACCGAAAATCCAAGTGTGTTACCGGATTTATCATCAGCAAATTTAGCTACAGCACTGATCTCACAGGGTCTTCTTAGTTCACAAGCATTCCATGAAAGCATCAAATCAATAAACAGTGATGAGCAATCAATTAGTCCGGTAAACGGTGATAAACCAAGGCAATGTTCAAGTAAACCAAAAACATACAAATGTAAACAATGTAGTCATATCAGTACGTCTAAAGAAGAGCAATGGGCACATGCTCGAACTCATATACCTGTGGAAAAGCAACTTGGTTGTACAAGATGCGGTTTTGTCACCGAATATAAGCATCATTTGGTATCATATTTTTTACTTTTTATTTTACATATAAATACCACCTATAAATTAAAATTGAAGTAAAGATGAATTTGTTAATTTAGTTTTTTTTTTTTTCTAATATTTTTTCCTTTTTGGAAAATTTGAATTAAATAGAAGCAATTCAGAAATATAATAAATTCACTTGAAAAGAATGCAATTTTTAGATCATTTTGTAGATACAATTAAGATTGCAAATGCATAAATAACATTGATTAAATTGTTCTCGAAAGCAAAAAATTGTCATCCTTCTATCTAAAAAAAGAAAAAGAAAGAATTAAATAATTTTTACATTTTTATCAAAAATAAACATTAGCAACCGGAACAAAGAATTTCTTTCAGGAATATCATTTACGGAATCATATGGGATCTAAACCATTCCATTGTAAAAAATGCGCTTATTCCTGTGTTAATAAATCAATGCTTAATTCACATATGAAATCACATACAAATATTTATCAATTTCGTTGTCGTGATTGTACCTATGCTACAAAATATTGTCATAGCTTAAAATTACATCTGAGAAAATATAATCATAATCGAGCTACTGATGTCACCGATTCACCTGTAAGCATTACTGTCAATGCTACTGCTAGCACAAGTGATCTTTGTAATGGTAAATATTTTTTTACTAATGTCTTTTTTTTTTGTTTTGTTTACTTTTTTTTTCATCAATAAATTTCAATTGATGAAAAAGATAATATATATATGAAAGAACTGATTAATATATGCTAAAGGTACAACGCAAGTAGTTGCGGAAAGTGATGATACAGCAATGCGACGTCTTAGTGAATCACTTGCGGTACAATCTACTGATGGTGGTTCCTCACCGGAACCACTACCAACAACATCAACTATGGCACAAGAGTTAACTGCTGCATTAGGTATGACACCGGTTGTCACCACTAATTCACTGGATATAGCATCACATTTACTCTTCCGTCAGCAACATCAGGTATGTACTTTTGTTTTTTTTTTTTTTTTATTACCGTTTATTTTAAAATGATAAAATTATTTTCTTTTTTTTAAATATATTTAATTTTTTTCTTTCAGTATATATATATATATATATATAATCATATAATCAATTGGCTAATTTTGCAGACAAATTAACAAAAAAAAGAAAAAAAAAATGATACAATTAATTAATTATTGAATAGAGACAGTAAATAAAAGAAAGATTTTGATGTTTATAGATGGAAGAAATGGAATTATTGCTCCGATTAAAAAATATGGCTGGTCTAAATCCAGGTGCTATGCTTGGTATATCATTGCAATGTCCAGCATGTAGTTATCAGGCAATCAATCAGGGTGACAGTTTACGACATCAGCTAGGCCATCTGATCGGTCCAAATGGTGAAAATCCGCTTATTCCACTGTATAATATATTTGGAATACCGCAAACAGCTGGTGTACCCAGTAGTGAAACATCATTGTTCGTTTCTTTTTTTTTTTTTTTTTTTTTGAAATATTTTAAAATATTTTAAAAAATATATTCTACGGATTATTTGTAATCGTTTTTGCCATAATTTAGCTTCATTTTTAAAAATCTTAAGATGAGTGAAACAAAATTTGTTCGTTTATAATTTTCATTTCTTACAATTTATTTGTCGATTAATTAATCCATCTATTTAGCTCTATTTAACTATTTGTACATTTTATTAATTTAAGCAAATTTATTATTCAATTTAAAAAGGAAAAAAAAAAATTTATTTTTCGTAATTTCATTTGTGTTTGAAAATAAATCAGTTTTATTTAGCAAATAACTTGTTTAAAATTTCTCATTTCTAGTTTTATATTTTTACATGAATTATAGCGATTCAAGTAGCAATCTAAATGAGCAAATGGAACAACAAGATGATGAAATGGAAACATCAAAAGTGGAAGTTGATGATTATATTAGTGGTGCTGAAGTTGATGAAAAAACCGGCATAACCGATTCGGAAGATCATATGATGAGTGATATTTCCGGTATATTTTTCAATTTTTATTTATTACTGTGATAAAAAATTTAATAGAAATACTACAATGATAGAAAGTTTTTTTGATCAAAAATTTTAAATAAACTTAATTTTAATGATAAAATAAAAATTTTAGGTAGAAAAAAAAAAAATTTTTTTTTTTAATGAAAAAATTTTAATAAACTTACTTATAAGTTTTAATAAGCTTTTATGAGAAATTGTAAGGGAAGAAAATTTTAAGGAAAATTTAGGTATACTAGGCTTATTTTAAGTAAAATATGCTAGCAGAGTTATTATTATGAAAAATTAAAATTTTGATATTTATTGATTAGCAAAAAGCTATTATTGTTGGCGTATTTACTTAAAATCAAAGGGACATTTGTTTAGTCTTCTCGTATTTTCTAATGATTTAATCTAAATTAGTAGTTTTAATCTAAATTAGCATTTTTTTTTCTTTTTTATTTATTTTATTTGATTTATTTGAACCAAATAGCAGGGATAATATGAAAGTTTAAAATTGCTGTAAATAGTCAAATTTTATGAGATAAATTTGCATAAAAGTTTGATTTTATTGTAGGTGAGTCAGAGGATTCACCAAGTTCTGGAAAAAGTAGCACTGATGAAGGTTCATCCGGTATGGAACAGGAAAGCGATAAAGGTGCAAAAAAGCGAAAAGCCGGTTTAAAGCTAAATCAAATTGCTGCACGACTTCAGGAGAAAAATTCACCTGAAAATCCCGGTTCCAGTGATAGTATGAATGATTCTAAGTATGAAGTGAGATTTTTGAATAATTTAAATTATTCGCTATGATGTTTGTTAGCTTCTAATATTTTATTTATTTATTCATTGTTTTAAAATAAATAAATAAATTAATTGATTAATTAATTAATAAAAAATGTAACAATTGCAGGGATTGTTATTATCAGGAATGAAAGAGAATCCATTAAACGAAATGAGTGGAACTTCTGTAGGTATAACTTTAGATTCACAAGAAGCGCCATCAATATCATCATTAACGTCAACAACGCCATTAGCGCCACAACCACAATTGATACCACCGCTTGGAATACATAATGATTTGATTAATTTAAGCAATTTAAATATTTTTCAACAAGCATGTATTGCTCATATGCAAGAAATGGAGGTTTGTTTGTTTGTTTATTTGTTTGTTTGTTTGTTTTTTTTTTTCACTAATTTTAATAATCTTTAAAATAAATAAATTTCAAACCTTTCTTTTTTCTTTTTCTTCCATATGTGAAATGTTGAAAATGATTTTATTTAATTTGCAAAAATTAATTCATTAATATTGCATACATATTAAAAATGATTTATTTTCATTAATAAAATTGAACCATTAATGTTTATATACATATTAAAAATGATTTATTTAATTAATAAATTTATTTAATTAACTTATTTTTCACTTTATTCTTTAACTTTCTTGCATACATATTAAAAATGATTTACTTACTTAATAAAATTAATTAATTAATTATTTTTTTTTTCACTTTATTCTCTAACTTTTTTGCATAATGTTTATATACATATTGAAAATGATTTACTTACTTAATAAAATTAATTGATTAATTATCTTTTTTTTTTTGCGTTATTCTTTAACTTTTTTTTGCATACATATTAAAAATGATTTATTTTCATTAATAAAATTATTTAATTATTCTATTCTTTATTTTACTAGTTAACTTTCTTGCATACATATTAAAAATGATTTACTTACTTAATAAAATTAATTAATTAATTATTTTTTTCTACGTTATTCTTTAACTTTTTTTGCATAAATATTAAAAATGATTTATTTTCATTAATAAAATTAATTAATTAACTGTTTTTTGCTTTATTCTTTAACTTTTTTTTTGCATACATATTAAAAATGATTTATTTATTTATTTAATCAAATTAATTAATTAGCTGTATCTTTTTTTTTTTTACCTTATTCTTTAACTTGTTTTTTTTTTTTTCATTTTAAAAAATTTTTTTTATTTTTTAAAAATTTCAGCGTAAGCTACATATCCTAGAAATGTGGCGTTTTTCATGCGGTCATTGCAAGATGGCATTCCAGGATGAGCCATTATATCATATTCATATGGGATATCATGGTTATGAAAATCCATTTAAATGTAATCGTTGTGGTCAAGCATGTTCAGATTTTCTTACATTCAATCTTCATTTATTACAAGCAAAACATTAAATATTTTTCATCATTAAAATATTATTTATTTCTATTTATTATTATTATTCTTATTCCTATTATTTTTATTTTTTTCTTTTCTTTTTTTTTTTTTTTCATACTCAATTTAGCAACATTTCAGGTTTTCATCTCTCACTTTTATATATTAAATATAATAATTATACAAATCAATAAATAAAATAAACAAATATATATATATATATATATATATATATATATATATATTTATATATATATATATATTTTTATTTTGAACAAAATGAAAAATCTTTAATAAAGGATTTTTCATTCCTTCATTTCATTTTCTTTTGTAATGTTTGTTTGTTTATTTGTTTGTTTGCTTGTTTTTTTTTTTTCATTTCTAACATTAGCACAAAATGTAAAAAAGATTTATTCTCTGGACATGGAAAAAAAAAAAAGCTTAGCTAATAATTATAATTTAATTGGAAAGAAAAAAAAAATATAGCATAATTTTATTTCATTTCAAAAAAAAAAAAAAAAAACAACCAAACAATTAAATAAAAATTTCTTTTTTCTTTTGCTATAATTTGAGAAAGTATGAAAAAAAAAAAAAAGAATATTTGATAGAAATATAATTAATAATACATTTTATCACTTCCATGGCCATTTATGAATACATTTATGATTATTAACAAAAAAGTTAAACAAATTTTTCCAATAATTTCAATTCATTTCATTTTTTTTTTTTTTTTTTTTTGTTAAAATTAATTTTCATATTATCATCCATTTTTGCATTGATAACTGTTCTGAAGTGCAGGCTAAAAATAATGTCTCAGGCTGTCTTTCTTATTTCTCAGGCAAATACTGCCTCAAATTATCAAAATAATGGTTTTCTTTTTTTTTTTTTTTTTTTAATTAATTAATTAATTATCCTTTTTAAAGGATTTCATTAATTATCAAATTATTATTTTTCTTGTACATAATTATTATATAGGAAACAGTCTATTTTTGTTGTTTATTTTTTTTTTCTTTTTTTTTTCTTCCCCATTCTTATTTTCATTTATAATTTTCCAGAAAATACTTTTTTTCTTTTTTCTTTTTTTTTATAAACAAATCAAAAAAAAAAAAAAGAGAAAATTCTGGAAAATTTATAATTGACTTATTAATTTCTCTCTCTCTCTTTTTTTTCCTTGATGTTATCATTTTTATCACCAAAATGTCTCTAATATTTCCATTCTACCTCCATTGATATTCTCGAGAGAAAAAAAAAAAGAAAAGAAAAAGAATGAATAAATTTACTACTGTATTAAAAAATATATAAATATTATATCATTCCATAAATTTATTTCATTTATATTTAATTTATAAACAAGGATTACTTTTCTTTTCTTTTTTTTTTTTTTTTGTTTTTAGGTTTCAGATTTTGTTTTTTTTTTTTTTTTTATCAGATTTTGATGAAAGTGTGCTAAAAAGTATGAGAAATGTTTTTTTTTTTTTGTTGTTGATTTCTTTTGTCCTTTCCTTCCTTTTTTTTTCTTTTCTGCATCATAATAAAATGATATATAATTTGTTATATATGTATATTACCTGGAAAGCTAATTCCAAAATTTCATAAATATATTTTTTTTTTTTGCAAATTTAAATAAAGTGAAAAAGTAAAGCAATAATTATTTAATAAATAAATTTTTTTTTTTTTTGAAATGTTCAAAAATTAAATTTTTATCATTCATATTTAACAATTTTTGTAATTTTTTTTTTTTTTGATGATGATAATGATAATAAAGAAAGAAAAAAAAAATGATGAAAATTATTTTGACAAAATTTTTATTAATAAGTTTTCCAGAAAAATAAAATGTTATTTTTTTAAATGTAAATATTTTGTTCTATATTATATCACTAAAATTTCATCTTCAAATGTATGAACTCAGTGTGTTTCCTTCTTCTTCTACTTTTTTTGCTTGCTTGCTTGACTATCTCAGTTTTTTGTCCTATGTGTCTCCAATTAAAATTCAGAATTACTTAATTTCAAATTTATCATTTTCTCTTTGTTTTTATATTTTATCATTTTTTTTTTCCTAAAATTTTCCGCTCATTTTATTATTGTACTATTATTACTATTATTATTATTGTTATTATTATTTACTAATTATTATTATTATTTTTTTTTCAAATACGTGGTGATATTATACGGTTACTTTGATCATCATCATCATCATCATCAACTCAGGGAATTGTATCGTCGATAACCGAAATCGCCGACGTATTTCATCGTATTCTTTTTTTTTTTTTTTTAATCATTTTAAATGTTAATGAAAGTAATTAATTATTATTACATTTTTTTTTTTTGTCTTAAAATGTTTATACAAAATAAAACAAAAAATTAAAAAAAAAAAAATAAAATAAATTTTGATACAGAAATTATAACAATTATTAGTTACATCTGTTTCATAATCTTTTAGCCTTTAAACTTTGAACTATTTCGAATATTTGTGCAATGTTATATTTTTTAAAATAATAAAAAAGGCTGACAAATATTAAATGGATGTACTATTATTGTATTATATAATTTTTCCTTCTTTCTTTTTTCTTTCCTTTCTTTTTTTTCAGGAAAACTTGTTTTCTTTTAAAAATTTGAAAGTGATAAAATCAGGAAGAAATATGAAAAATATTTGTCCATTGCTCTAACCTCCTTACCTCACAATCATCACTCTCATATCGCTCAGGTTCTTTTGCTTTGTTCGATCGTATCTTTTTTTTTTTCAAATGTTGATATATTCCAATGTTTTACTTCTCCTTTACTTTCCAATACTTCTAATTCATATGAAGTTATTGTTAAATAAAAGAGTTATCATTTCTACTCACACAGTACACTATTTTTGTAATTATCATCTCATTGGTAATTTTTTTTAATTCTATAGATAATCTAGATTTTATCTAAACAAAACAGATGATGTCTGAAATAAGTTTTGTTACTAATTTATAGCATTTTCTTGACTTTCAAAATTTGCTGAATATGTTGATCCATTGAAAAAACGAAAGAAAAAAAAAACAAAACAAAACAAAAAATAAGCAAGAGACACGTGCAATCTGCGTAAAGTTTCATTAATAATAGGCATAAATTTATGCAATTAACACCACTTGCATTCAAAACAGTTATTTTTTAAAATCGCACTTTTCTAAAATACATGATAAAATAGAATGGTGTTTCAACATAATACTGATCACTTCCAGCTTTTTGAAAAATTCAATAATGAGTCTTGAAATTATGAATTAATAAGCAGTAATAGAATCACACACTAACCAATAGCGTAAGTTTTAGAAAAAAAAAAAAATCGAAACTTGAATTAAAACTTTGAAAATGCCAAAATAAAGGTCTTCCATTTTTGAGCATTAAACACTAATGATATGAAAAAAATTTATGAAAAGTCTGATAGCAGATGAAATTAATTAATTAAAAAACCAACTAAAAAGCTGGAAGAAATCAGTTACATGAGAAAATGGTGTTAATTTATAACAGGCTTTTGATTAAAACAAAGAAAGTAAATAAACTGCGAAAAAAAAAAAATTGCGTATTGGTAGAATACATTTTTGATCTTACACAAAACCAAAGTTTTTATTTTTGATAGCTGTTAAGAGCTTCGACTTTAGCACTTTTTTGCTCGGATACAGTGGCACATACAATCTGAAAGTTTTAATAGGAAATGATACAGATGAAATTACACTTATATCAAAATAAAGAAAAAACACAAAACGGGGTCATTTCCCAATTTTGCACATTCTAGTCGGTCCCCAATTTATAAACTTAATTCTACGAAAAGCTAAGTAAAATTCATCAGTAAATCAAAACAGTATAACGAACCGAGAAATACAGGTATTAGCAGTAGGCAGATGATCATCCGCAGGACGCACAAGCACTGTTGGCATTGGTTGGAAACCATCTTCGCTTGGCGGAAGTGTTGGTGAACCGGTCCAGAAGAAGATCAAATCCTGAAAAATCAAATATACCTTTTAAGAAATGATTAGCAAACCAAGTGAGAGAAAATGGGGAATGATGGCAAGAATCGCAAATATTTTAGCTTAAATCTGAAATCTGATACGTGATTATTCCACAAAACAGTGTGTTAATAATTTAGGAACTTTAGTATTTCACCTGCTTTTCTTGATTATTGAGTTTGTTACATATTGACCAAAACCATCCTTTGAATTTTTGAAGTAGTTCTGGTGATGCTGAACTTTCATCTGTGAATGTTGTGTAGCTTTGCATCAAAGTCATCGAGATCTGAATAAGGGGTGTAAAAGAATGCATACATCAATCCAATAAATAAATAAACATGCCAGTTGTCTTAATCAGTGTAGAAGAGTTTTAAATTCTTTATTGTATAGGAAAGTTTAAATTAAAATTAAAAGGGTGAAATTCTCAGAAATTTCAGAAGAGAAAAATCTTTCCTCATTTTAGCCATTGCATCGAATATACTCAACAATTATCATTTTACTACCATTGTACTGATAAATATCGAATACATCTGATAAAAGCGCCAGAAAACCGATCGAAAAACAAGAAACAAATTCATTGCTCTCAAGAAAAAAAAAAAAAAAAAAAAAAACCTCTTGTGTTCCGCAAAGCAATAGACGCAAATCCTCAGCAGTCATATTTGCCAGCGAACCAAGCGGTATTGCATCATATACACCTTGCTTAATAGCCTGAAGAACAAAACCGATGGAAAACCCGCATCCATTTTAACATGTTAAAAAAAAAAAAAAGAATGCAAAAAAATTACACGAAAAATAGATATACCTCAAGACATTTTAAATGATTTCCAAGCATTCGTGCTTCCACAAACAGATAAATGTATTCCACAACATTTTCATGAGTTACTGCAATATTTGCACCACCTGGTTTCAATTCCATGGTACCTCCACCCTGAAAATGAAAAAGTTCCCTCGTCTCATATTTTGCAATCATACTAATACCTCCTCCCCACCAAAAAAAAAAAAAAAAAATCATAAGCAAGAAAAGGCATATAAAAGCTTAATAAAGCCATGTAAAGTACATAATGCAATTAATCAAAATACTTTGTTTAGTTTATCCATTAACCTTTGACAAAACTAAAAATTCATAATGCAACATACAAGAATGCAATTTTATGTTATTCAAACTTATTTTTCACCTTCTCTTTCTATCCTCTTTTAAGTATATTAGTGCTAAGAGCGGTTTTTTTTTTTTTTTTTAAATTAACAAAAATAGAAGAAAATCAAATTATACCTCCTGTTCAGGTACAGCGACTTCGAAAGTTAGATACAAACTGTTAATTTGCTCAGGTCGAGTTGGGCCTTCGTTAAATACCAATGTACGCATTGATTCGAACAAAACAGGATCATAAAATGCAAGATCAAACCAGTTAATCGGACGTCCAAGTATGAATTTCAGTACATGCCGGCAAAGATGCAATGGGAATATTTCCATTTGCATCAAACAAATTCCAATCATTCTGCAAATACATATATGTTCAATTGAAGGAAATGAAGCTGAAAAACCTATTTAACATGCATTTTAAACATTACCATTAGCATGTACTATATTTTTTAAAACTTGACTGAATTCAAAAATCACTCACCTTCCAACATTTCGAAAAGCATTTAAACGATGCGTCGAATTTTTGCCAGCAATTGGTGTATAATAGCCAGTCCTACTTGGACGATAAAACAATGGTGCCGTATCATCATCCATGTTAACTATCCCTGAATCATTGGCAGCTGAAATTCAGACGATGTAAATATGCGTCATACAAAATGCATTATCATGTATCAAATTTCAATTATCACCAATTAAAGTAAATGTATCATCTTCAATGATTTTTTTTTTTTTTACCACTGAAAATTATCTAGTCTTAGAACTATTCTCAAATCATCAAATTCACATAAAACAGTACAAATGAATAATATATCAATAGGAACACATTTCAAATTCATACAATTGAGATTTGGTGTGCTAGAAGCACGAACTATTGGTACACTTTTTGCTTGTGCTGGTTGTCCACGATTCGAGGATGCTGATTCATTAGCACGATCTCCTCCATCACTATTTCCTAGACCAGCTGCCTGAACCATTTCAGATGCTTCTTCCACTTGGGCACGAAGAAGCTCTTCACTGGCAAGTATCGTTATTAGTTGGTGTGGCTGAAGATCCAGCAACATGCCCGTAATTTTGTTACATAACTGCTGTAAATACACAAAAAAAGGAAATGAAGATGCTATATATGATTTCAACAAGTAGCGATGAAATATTTATAATTGTAAATATAATAAAACACATAATTTCAAAGAATCTCTCTTAAACTTTGAATCCTTATTCAACGATCGTTCTCTGTTAACATTAGAGAGAATTTAAACTTGAAAAAAAAAAAAAAAAAACACAAACACAAACGACTTTCAGATATCTTACCGGTCGTATTGCTCGAACTCTTGCCAACAATCTTTCGCCTAATGTTTCTCGCTCTGGCTCCCAGGCTGCTGGAGCTTGAGGAGTTGCCAAATTATCAATATTAGATGCTGCGACTGGCTCACTATCACCTGATGGTTCATTCAGGTGCGGCTGATGTCGTGAATAATAAGAAGGAGAAGAAACAGATAGAGTATATCGACTGAAAATATTGTTCTGAGAATGAAATCTCCCATTATTTCTTTTAGTTAGATTACTACACATTTCAGTTAGCATTATTTTAGTAGATTATCAAAAATTTTTTCAACATTTCATATCCTTCAAATTTTACATCAAAACCTATTTCCGAAAACTTACTTTCTCAAACTTCGCCGTCTTCCAGCCACTGACAAACTATTCAGAAGAATTGCACTTCGGTCACGATAACTTCCGCGACCAGATCCACGATTACCTAAAATCTTTAATTTCCTAAACTTTGTCAATTCTGAGCATCACTCACTTATAATCTGCTCCTACTAAAACTCATAACAAATATAATTCAAAAATGTATTTTATCGCTTCAAATAAAACATACCCGACGACGGTGGAACATCACCAGGTGAGCTACCAAAAGCAGCTAAAACTTGTGTTTCTGTTGGTAAACGTTTCATTGTCAAGAATGCATCAGCAATAGCTGCATAGAAACTTCTTGCTACACCACTTCCTTCTCCAGGCTCATTTTTGAAAGTAACTTTTACCTGAAATGAAGATGGAAGTTGAACAAAACGAGTAAAGGAACGGTTTCTGGATCTTCAAAATTTCAGGTCTAAGTTTAGACGATTTAGTTTACTCAGCAGTTTAGAAAGTACAGTATATTCTTTACGGCAATAATTCTATTACAATTTGAGAAATTTCAACGAACTACAGGAAAATTTGACCTTATGGCATGCAAGAGGAGGTGCATCAGAATCGTCTTTATTGCTTGCGCTAGCCCATGAAAGATTAACCAGTCTCACCGATCTTACAGAACCAAACTCTCGAGGAGAATCCGTACTGTTGCTCTGTGTCGAATTTACCGACGACGAACTGCTAACACGACGCGAATAATGCACGTTCAATTGACGTATTGTCTGTGCAATCATTTCATGCTTGTCTCGTTCAATCTAAAGAATTATCTCCTCGATATAGCTACTTCTATTTAAACATCTTTCAGATATCCATCTTAATAGAAGTAATTGACTCACGAAACTTCAAACAACTAGGCTACTGTTATAACTATATGTCCAAATCACCCAAATCTGATCGAATTATGCAAAAAATGGTATAGTGGATTTATGTCATGATGATGAATCGCTCATAACTGTTCATAATAGGTCATAATCTTGCTACTCTACTCTAGACTTCAACTAGTTTTCAATTAGTTAGTTACTTCTGCACTAAGCTGAAGGATCCGAAAAAATCGACTTTCTGCCAAAACCTCTTAACTCAAAATTCTGTATTGTTCCTTTACTTACCTTCTTTCTTTTGATACAATTCATAAAGAGATGATATATATATATATATATAATATATATATATATATTATATATATGATCGGGGGGAGGATCAATAAACATTCACCTAATTTGATTCCCTAACTATATGCAAACAAACCTCGAAAACAATATCCTTGCTTTGTGCTGCCTTAAACTTTTCCATCTTCTTACGAAACTGTGCTTCACGCACCAAAAAACCGGCCATTTCACTCAAAAGCATTGAACCCGTAACTTCACCGCCACAGGCGATTAAAAGTTGATCGCTAAATGCCTGAAATTATTACACTTGAGCTCGAGCTACAAAATCACTTGAATATCAACTCAAACTCTTTGTAAATAAAACACATAAATGTTTAAACACGAAATGTCAACGTCAGAAGGAGCCAGATAAACTGGCTAAATATTAAGCAGCTATCTGGCACATCCTGAACATGTTTCAAACTTCGTTTACCTTTGCCATCAAATTTAAAGTGTTCTTCCACCGTGCCAATGATTTGTGCACATGACTTTGATTACTGCGATGTAACGCACTTTTCAAACTTTCCAATTGTATTGCAACAAAACCACGAGGTGGTGGGACAGCAGATGACGAACATAATCGCCGACGTTTCCCTAGAATTATGATACCACTAAGTTAAAGCAAGAAACATGAAAAAAGCCCATATATAAAAAAATATATAACGGTTAAGTCGAAAAATTTCAACCTTGCACTATTGGTTCATTAGACATATTCTTCGAATGAACGATTACATTGGGACGTGAAAGTCCACTTATTGGAATCTCTTTCTCTTCTAAAAGTAGATATCAGAAGAGTGAATAAAAGTAACTTTGATGATTTATGGTAATTTTTCTCAGTCATGTTCAATATCCTAAATGCTAATCTACAAAAAAACGTAGAAGACAAACCACTTGTATTTATAGGCAACAGTTCGTGATAGTTAGACCATGGAGTAGCCAGTCCTTGATGTGCTGGATACTTTGCACCGTGTTCTCGAACATTTTTCTGTAAGTAATATTCACCCATAAAAAGTATAGCGTGTTACTAAAATTTCAAATCCTTTTTTCCTACTTCGTCTTATTTTCTTTTTACTTCAGTTTAATTCTCAATTTTATGTCAGCAACAAGTGAAAAGACACATTCCGTATTCGAAAGTGAAAATAGCATAATTATATCGAAATATATGGTGAGAATGCATCATAAATTAATAAAGTACTGCATAATGTCATCTGTAACTTTACAAAACAAACCCTGTGTTCAGAAATAGTCTTATGCTTTATCGGTAACCCAAACATTTCCTCTTTTTCAATATCTGGTCTCAAAAGTTGTGGACGTTCGGCTAGCACCAAAGAATCGACACATTTATGTTCAAATGCATGGTAATTAGATGATGATGCAATACCCGGATAAAGAAGTGAATTGGAACGCTAGAACAAATTTAGAACCAATTTTAATTTTGAAATAAGTGTGAAAGTTAAAAAAAAAAAAAAAAGAAAATTCAAACAGGGAAAGGTCCACACCATACGAGTAAAATGAAGTACCTGGAAAAAATCGGTTATTGGTGCACCTGCTTGCACACTTGATTTGCTACCGTCAGCAACCTATAAATCAATATTAATGAGAATGTTACTCTGCTTAAAAAAGAAAAAATCAGAAAAAATAAACGAACAAAATGCAACGAGAGACTTCATTTCAGCATATTTTTTCAACTGTACGATTTAAGCTCTCTTTTTAATTAGCAATTGTAGAATCAAGAATAACTAACGGAAGCTTCATCATTTTGAAACATGTCGATAACTTCTTTGTCACTCGTGATGCTTTCAACTGAATTTAAGCCCAATGCAATTCTAGCGTCTAACTTTTCCAGCATATCTATTAACGATAAATATGCATCAGCCACAAAAGCTAGAGCTTTCAATGCATTAAACTCGATGATCGGAACATCATCACCGTTTTCAGAAGCATGAGAACGCATCAGCGCTGTTACATAGTCAAAGAAGTCTTCCAGTGATGCTGTCGAATCTGAATTCTGTTCATCTGAAATTCTTTCTGCTATAGTTGCAAAGAAGGAAAACAATCAGAGGTACCAATACACAAAACAATTTTAAAACTAAATTTGAAGACTAATACAATATATAAAATTTACCTTTTTTGCTATTTGCAGTAGTAGATCCAGGGGTGTAATCTTGTCTAGGAACCGGTGTACTGGAATGATTTCCTGATCCAGGTCGAGGACTATGCCTTCTACAAAATAAGTATTGCTATATAGCTCCAAATGAGTTTGAAAATAAGAAAAGAAAAAGATGCAAACATACTCAGTGTCACGATCGTCACCCTTTTTAAGGGATAGTTTCTTCTCTTTACGAAGCACTGCAGCAATAGCTGGTGATGCCATCAATGCGTTTCCAAAACGCAATTGAGCTTCAGTTCGATCCATAACTGTTTCCATCCACTGCCACACAACATACAAACGCTCTTCTATTAGTCGCTAAATACAGTTAAGCTACAGAATAAAATATATGAAGGACATTATACAATAGAAAGTAAAAGAATGAAGTAATAAGCATATCCTAAAGATTTCTAATAAACTCTTAATTTCTACAATATCTTTTGCAGGAAATAAATGGTGAAATCAAATTATAATCTTACACGAACTGCAATTACAACAGCATCATTCAACTCCAGCATTTTTGGTATAAGAGTGTATGAGCTTTTCACAAACTCGCGGTGATCCACAAGCACTGGCATTAAGTCAACAATCAACCTTAAAAAATCGTTTTTAACAATTTCCTTAACTAGTGTAGAATCAGTTTTTATTCATTGGTTTTTTTTTTCTTCCTTTTTTTAAAAGACAATCACAAAATCGAAGACGGAATTTCATTAATTTTCCCAGTGAAAGTATGGAAGATAAAACCAATGAATAGAATGACTATCCACAAATCAACCTTTAACCTGATAATAAGTGAAAATGATAAAGCAAGTTGCTGATTTGTTTTAGTTACTGAAGTGGCAGCATCTTCTGATGATTCTCGCAAATGTTTTGAGTTTGCCAAAGAGCCTGGATTTGATTCTATAAATTAAAAATGATTTCAAAAGCAACACGAAAGTAAAATATAGTCTGAAAAGAGGCAAGAATCTCTAAACTAGATTTAACTTATAATACTACGAGAAAATTCCATGCCAGTTAAATGAAATTCGCAAATTGTTAAGAACTGTAGAGAATGGGAAAATCGTCGTACTTCTAATTATAAATCAACCATAACCCACGATGTGTTATTCTACATTCAAACAAAAAGAAAACCTCGATTTTCGCTGTTGTCACTACGTCGTGCTGCGGTCGATCGCTCAACATTCGAGGCCATACGACGCATTGCCCATTGCAGAGGTATTGCTAAATAATAATAATCGAATTAGAGGAAGTAGAAAAATGAACTCCTGAAGTCTGAAGCACTGGTAAATGAAAAATATTGGCACGAATAAAGCTGAAGTGATATACAAACAGATATAACAGAATAAACACATACTAATAGTAGAAGATTAATAAATCTACAACAAAAATGTCCAGGCAGGCTGGTTAAAATTAGTAGAATAGCCTACTATTATGTCGCCCACTTGTTACGCCGGATACTCTTCCCGAAGTGGCATCACTACTACGATTCGCATTGTTAGCTTCATTATCTGAAATAAGTAGAATTCTTTTCAGTGAAATAAGTAGAAAAAATATTTGAAGTGAGAAATAAATCAACACAAGAAAATTATACTTCGAACACGCTGTTGTGACGCATTGTTGGAGTCAGTAGGTGCTGCTGTATCCTGCTGTTGTTCACCAGCTAGATTATTCGTACCTCGTGTGTTCCGCGATGACTGGTTCTGCAGGAGAGAAAAAAAAAATGAGACAAAATTACGATTTACAGGGTCCATAAAGTTCAAATCTTAGACCACGCTTTCTAATTACAAGGACAGCTGATGTGTAACATGTGAAAAGATTTTCCATACAAGCTACGCCAATTTTTACAGGTACGAAATAAAAAAAGACAGAAAAGTTAAAACAAACCGTTCTGCGTTCATTAGGTCGTACATGTCGTGATCTTACACCTGTAAAAATAAATGTAAAAAAAAAAAGAAAAAAAAAATTAAAAAGTATAAGTAGGAAAAAAGTCGTAAAAATGAAAAACCAAATGCAGTGAGAATGAGGCAAAATGGTAACCATATGTTCCATCGCTAGTACCATCACCACTTTCTGGTACATCATCTTCCTCATTTGGCTGCACCTGCATTTCCTCATCCTCACCATCACCATTTCCCTCTTCGTTACCCTCATGTTCTCCTTCTTGTTCATAACGATCATTTTCATTTTCATCACCTTCTTCGTAATTACCTTCGTCTTCCTCATTCCCGAATTCTTGCTCTAAATTTCCATTACAGAGTTTTCGTTCTGCATCACTTTTCTAATTTAGCAAACAACATTATTCATAAATATGAAGAGAATCTGAAATGCTCCACAACGTTGAAAGACAAAAAGAAACGTAAACAATTTACCATCATCACCATTTCCATCATCATCATTTTCCTCATCTTCCTCATCAATGTTAGGATCATTGCCTTGACTAGTTGGATCATCATCTTGCTCAGCTGGTGAACTAACTGATTCTACTGAATCATCCTCTGGATCTTCCTCAGACATACTGAATAGTTCATCGCCATCATAGTTACCGGATGATGCTTCTGGAATAATGAAATTCGCTTTAGAATGCACTATATGATTTTTTTTTTTTTTTTCGGAAAAGTCTAATCTACCCACACTTTTCATTGGAAGACTATCATAGATATCTGTAATTTTAAAAGTGAATTAGTTAGTCAGAGTAACATGTTCCCGTGTTTTCCGCCAGTTACCACTTGGATAACATATGGTAATCCAACTCTTCGGATAAAAATTACACGAACCCAACTCTTAATGGATGCATAAAACTATCAATAACTTTTATTACATCCTATCTAAGTTGCAAGAATTTGCTGATTAAAATGTACGTGTGAATATTTTGTCATGTCCCTATCCTGCATAATGATAGTTTGGTAGGATTTTGTGAAAAAAATTAATAAAGTTTGATGCAAAGATTACTTACCGTTTCTAAGTGCATTGTACACCTCACCGACATAACTTTGACTTCGTGTAGGACGTGACTCTGAAAAAGATTTATAAATGAAACTCATAAAAATGTTAGAGTAATCAACTATATTACACATAATCAAACTAAAATGCAAACAAATTAGTTCAATCCGTAGTTATTTAATTTAAATCCAAATAAAAGACTACCATCACTATCTGAATCGCTTGAATTGTCACTTTCTGGTGCACTATGCGGTTGCGCCGCTTCTCGTATCTCTTCATCACCATGGTCTCCTTCCCTTCGTGTACTACGCTAAAATAGAATATCGAAATATTATTGAACTGTGACATTATAATCATCAATTTACCCTTCATGCCAAATGCAGGAAAAAAAGTGCTCTTTTCCGAAAGATTGCCAAGACATTATATTGTATACTTTTGATGATGTAGCCGAACAATGTAGACATAATCAGAGTATCGCTGGCTCAGCCTTCAGAGTAATAAAAAGAGTTAATAGAAAATGGAACAAAAGCTACCTTTCGTTTTCGACCGAACTTAACTACAGCAATATCATCTCCGGCCGTATTAACTGTTGACAAATCAACTTTTGAATTCAAAAACTTTTCTATCACCTGCAAATATTACGCAGATAAAAAAAAAAAAAAATATCAGAAATTATACAGCCAAGAAGAGAGCAAAAATAAATGAAGCTTCCTTTTTTTGTATGACAAAACAAAACAAACATCAAGAGGATCACTGGTAATATTCTGAGCAATGACTGAAGTAGGTTTGATTATTCCAAGTCGCACAGGAGCAATCAAAGAATCAGCCATATTGCACAGTTCGTTGATCGAATAATTCAACAAAGTTTGAAATATGCGGCGACATTTCAAAACAAAATTAGTCACGCTAAAATCAAAGATCTAATTTCACTTACACCATTCATTGCATAGCAATATGCCTATCATATCATACAAAATGCTAAAAACTTTCCCTATTCAATATATTCAAATCAATTAGTAAATAAATTGAGCTTACTTTTTCTTCTTTGCTTCTTTAGCGGCAGAACTTTCACGTCCACTTGTCGATCGAACGAGTGATAACAAGCCAGTGAAGCTAACAGTATGCAAGCCAGGACCAAAGATTCGCCTGAAAGAGGTAAAACTCTTCCACTACAATAATTTAATTTCAATAACAAATGAGATAAAAATAAAATCATCATAATATGTACATCTAATAATATTTCAAAGACAAGGATCAAATTCATGCTAACAAACCTTGGTGGAGTGTTTCCGGATGCAACCACTTGTGAAATACCACTTGCTGTAGCTGTGGCAACTGTTATGGCTGCCGGTGACAACAATGTCAAAAGCATAAACATCCTCAAAATAATGAACGTAAAAAAAATATGATCGTTCATGCAAAAAAAAAAAAATAAAACCTACAATAATGGCATTATTTTACTGGAATAGCAATATAAATTATAAAACAACTAACTGTCACAAACCTGATAACTGCGCGCACAAAGCGTGAAATAACAGAATCGATGTCGGGGTCTCTTTTCATATCTTCGTTGTTCTTATTTGCTTCTGATATCAATGTATTCAGTAAAGTATCAATATGCTAAAACAACAATAAACATAAAAGCACGCAAATTCACTTAAATTAAGCCTGTCTAAAATTACAGACAAAATGTAATTATAGACAACTCTGAATATCCATATATTTTTTCAGTTTCAACTTACAGTTTCTGAGCATTTCGCTAACAAAATAAAAGCAAATTTGTCAAGATGTGAGCATCCATGTTGTTGATTTAAATGAAACACTTCTTCTACCACTAGCGCATCACTGTAAAAACTCCCATTAAAAGGGACAAAAAATTTAAGAAATTTGAAAATAGCTTCGATTCATGTTAAAACTATCACTTACTTTTGCACACCCTTAACACCCAACATTATCAGGCTTTTAACTGCACGCCAGTCAGCCAACATTTTTGCGAAAGCAGTGCGTGCAAATTTCGGTGGTTCCAGATCATGCTCCGGAGTGGTATCTGAAGGAAATCACATTAAAAATTAAAAAAATTGGATAAAATAAATTTAAAACGCGGACAAATAAAGCTAAATTAGAAAAAATTCAACTGACCAGTAGCTCCCTGAGACTTTTTCATCATTCGGCGCTGGTAATGTTCCTGTTCAATAATCTGTCTTCCTACTGTTCGTGCCAAAAACAATAATAAATGTTCTCCTCTGCAATCACAGTGGAATAAGTATAATGGGCAGAAGATGAAAAATCATTTAAGATTTAAAATAATTAAGATTGTTGAATTTTAAAAGCTTTTCTTCGAAATACATAAAGAGATGACTTGATTTTTATTTTCACTCAATCAAATAAATCAGTGACTATTCGAGATCCTCAAAGCGAGTTTTAATGGAGCGAACAACAAGAGTATTTGAATATTTGGATTCAATAACTAGTTCATATTTATGAATAACAAGAATCTAACATAGAAAAATACCTAGAATTCGTACGATGAATGAGATCTGTACTGTTGAGCAAGACGGATATCAGTTTTTCTCGACGTGGTGTATTGCCTGCAACAAGGGCTCGACAGGAACACTTCTCCCAGCAATCACAATAAGCTGTTGGAGACGTCCTTTTCAGTCTACAATTTTTTTTTTTTTTTTATAATGAAAACCAAAGTAAACAATTTAATGCATATAATAAATGTAAATAAAGCAAAAAAGCAAGTTATAACCTGCATTCATGATTGCGATGACAAGTATAAGCACATTCCGTACAACAACACAATGTACCAACTAATCCACATGTTCGACATTCAAATATGTCCTAAAGTTCATTTATATTTTAGAAGAAAGAACCAATTAAACTCATCTTGAATGCCATTGTAGTAATAGTTTCAAATCACAATTAATCGATATGAAAAAAAAAAAAAAAAAAAATATTTTTAAGAGATGGATATCAAAGGATAAAATAAAATGAATTTCTGACAAAAGAATCATTCATACAAACCTGATTGATATGTTCATCACCGGTCCATGTAAAGCTACACGTATCATTCATACAAAGCATGAATAGAGGTGAATCATCCGGTCTACTCCCTATTGGATATATAATAGAATTTAAAATTGCATCAGCTGACTGTCTCTTGCCTTGAGAACCTGCAACTAGATCAACTCAAAAGTTATGATTTCACTAACAAAGGTGAGAATACAAGTATGCATAATTATGCAGTTATAATCAGCCATTAATCATTTAAAAAAAAAAATTGACCAGCGATTTGTGCTTCCTTCTGTAACTCTTCAGCAGCAAGCCACAGGATAAAGGCAGCCGTATATGCTCTATAGTTAACAGCGCACATGAAAGGTGTATGTCCATTAATATCTCTGAAATTAAAAAACTAACAAATTACTTTTGTTCAACATCAGACACTAACATTTTAAGCAGGTTTTCACGCTAAATAATTCATATGAATTATAGTACTAAGTGAATACGTAATGGGGAATATCTCTGTAGTCACTAAAAGTATTTGCTGTATTTATTTAAAGACCTGATCAGGTTGTTAGTCATAAAATGCTTCCTCGCACAACGCCTCTGGAATGTTTTGCAAAAACAGGTATTCGAATTTTTGATTTTTTTTTCATACCAGAACCGCTTCGCAAAAAAGAATCATTAAAAAAAAAAAAAAAAAAAATAATCAGAAGGTAAATGCTTCAAATTTTTGCTATTCTTATAAATTACAACCAAAAATCCCTATACATTTTGCCTGACTTGTTTTACTATCATTCTAAAGTGTTTACATACAGCATTAATGATAATACAAAACAGCTACAAAATTACTTCGTCGTTAGCAATTCGAGAAGAAATGGTGCCACAGTAGAGTTATAGCAAAGAGTTTTCACAATTTCTATTGAGTTGCACTGTCGACTTTTCGGTTCATTATTCGCATTAACAATAATTGGCATGGATACTGAACAAAATTCCCCTATACAATACGTCAAAATCTACTGATGAATCTTCAGCCGAAAACAGCAAAACGCATAAAATTTAGTAGAAACCTAAGGATTAAAAATCTTTTACAGAATTAATAATATATGAAAAGGACCTTCTTCTTTCATATCTTCTATGAAAACAGATGATTTTTTCGCATCTTTCAAGCTCCTCGCAAAATCTGCCAACACTAAAAATGATATTTCTTCATCGTTACAGTGAACAGAACCAGTTGTGAATATAAATTCATATATGATTCAACAATTTAAAAAAAAAAAACGAAAAAAAGAAAATGTAGCACAGTTTATTAATGATCATGAAAAAACTCACCATCTTCCATGTTGCCAACGTCGTGACCTGGTCTCCGCAATGGATTATTTGCCATTAATTCTCGTATTAACATTTCTTCCCTGAAATATCATCCATTTTTTTTTTTTTTTTTGAATCTATTATTTTAAATATTAAAACAGAAGCTCCAGGATTTTTGAACAAATTACAAAGTCTTAGCAAAAAAGGGCATAAAAAACAAACTCTGCATTAGCTCCATGGCGTCTTAACATACGCTGCCAGCGGCTATCAAATGCGGTACGAGTTTCTTCCGCAGCTGACATATCGATAGCTGCAGTCAAAAAATTTCATATAAAACAGTACACAACAGCAAATAATGCTAAATTTTCTTATTTGGTTATCTTACAGAAAAAGTTATAGCACCATCACATGGATACATCTCCAGTAAAAAAAAAAAAATAAATACAATTTCGTCTACCTGTTAAACGTTGCAAAGGTTTATTTTCTGTATCAACTGAAATTTCCATTGTGTCTGCCTCTTCCTTGTTAGTCGTTGCAAAACTGTTCATGACTGCGGCATGAAGAATGGTTCGATTCCCATCTGCACGAGAGCTCAAAATCTCGGTTTTTACAACCTCACGATCTAGAAATGACTTATAAAACAGCATCTTTGAAATAATGTTAATTATCTTATCTAAAAAAAGCAGTTAACGAAGTTATTCAAGCAGAAACAAAGGCTACAGTGTTATCAAAAGCATATAAATCAGAATATTTCAATAAATTTTGCTGACTGTAGTCTCAAGCAGTAAATACATGTTTAATTTGACAGCTAAATAAAAATCTTTAAAAATTTATATAAAATGAAAAAAGCTCAATAAAGCTACCTGCTTCTTTTGAAAGTGCATCAAGCACCAAATCCACACCCTGTAAATCGCAGTACAAAACAGTCTGCATTAGAGATGGTATTCGAGGACGAATGCTTGAAGGTGATGGGGCAATTAAAGTTACCATAATTCCAGTACGATTTGCATTCCGCGATGTTGATGATGCTGGAAAAAATTGTTAATGCTGATTCTTATTCCATATTATCAAAGAAAAAAAAAAAAGAATTAAGAAAGTGAAGGAATAAAAAGTGTTAATGTTACAAATCCATGTGACAAACTTCGGCACATAATTTCCTTCTTTTAATAAAACCATACGTACAGTCATCATTGGCAGTTGTTGAAGTATTTTCATTATCACCAGAATCCAATGGCCGTAAACCAACTGCAAAATTATGTATTTTGGGTAAACCGCAATACACTGGCTCACGAAACCCTCCCGTTGCATCACGCACCATCGGTATTATTGAACCGTTACTGTCGCTTATCATCATGATCATTTCCTAAATCTCGCTGATGTACAAACCACAAGCACAATCAACACTTCACGAGTAATTAAGGTAAAAAAAGAAAAAAAAAAGTCGGAAATACCACATTGAAGAAAAATTTTTAAAAAATTGAAAAAATCAACACACATCTCCGTAATTCTCAAGTCGTGGCAAATGCAATCCAGCGCTGCATACTGCTGAAACATTCACTGGCAAGACGTGATCACTTTGTATTTTACCAAATACACTGATACGAATTAAATGAAGTCGTCCACGTCTTTCGATCAATAACCGTAAGCCTAAATAGTACATCACAAATTGATGACAGAGAAAACAAGGTTATGCAAAAGGAAAAAAAAAAGAACACTGGATAACAGTTCAGTCGAAATTTTCTTTCGTTTTTTACATTTCCGAATTAAGGAATAACTTAATTTATCACATCTGATCATAATATAAAAAAATTTGGAAATATTATACAGAAATCTTTGAAATTATTGAGATTTACTGATATAATTTTAATTTCACATCACTATAAAATTCATTGCCTGCAAGCAAAATGGAAGACATCTCACATAACAAATTATGAAAACCGACAAACCGGTATTGTCTATAGTCAAAGAGTGCACTTTTTTCATTGATATACCGCCCGGCAGTTGTATTTTCTGCATATGCTTTTGAAAATTCTCAGGACAGCAAGGTATTTTGCTGTTTGGTGTTACAACAACAAGATCATCTTTGCGCATCAGTCGAATTTTTCCTAAATCACATGCATCTTGATTTTGACTGACTGCGTCACCACAATCATTTGAGACAACCGGTCTATATACAATTCCGCAATATGCTCCATCAACCTAAAAAAAAAAAAAAAAAAACCAATTATAGAACTCGAAAAGTCGATTAAGTTTGCGCTTCATAACACTATAATGATATATATATATATATAATGAGATAGATAAAAAAACAAGAAATCATCGATAATTTTTGTCTTAAAAGGAAATAAGCATACAATTTTCACGATGGCTGTATCCTGTGAGGTTTCTTTGTGGATGAATATGACTTCATTAAGTGCCCATGCAGTTTCCCGATAAGTATTTCCTTTCTGCTCTTCACGTGGCCTTTTACCGTATTCTGAAAACATGGATTTTTCGTAGCAAAAAAAAAAGAAGTCTGACATTTCAAAATTTCATTAAGAATATATAAAATTTTACCCATACAAATATAGCTGACACTGAAAGATGACGTGGAAATGGAATCAGCCATTCCGAAGTAAAAAATATGTAATTTTCCAAAATACTGAAAAGTGAAGCGAGACAAAGTCCAAGCGTGAATTGCATCACATAACCTTAGAGTTCAACTAAATAGAAGCAATAATTTCTTTCTTTTAAAGAAAAAGGCTACTACTACATGGCAAATTAGAATGCAACTAAGAAGCGTGAAGAGAGTCAACTAGGTATGTATTATAAAAATCCCACAAAGTCAATTTTAACCCACAAAAACTGTCGCTTCACTTTGGTGTTACAGTTTTCATCAATGTTTTCGCTTTTTAAAAAACTCACAGACATTACCATTCATATAATGTCAAAACGCGCATATTGTAGATTTGCACCAATTTGAATCGACCAATTAACTCGGTGCGTTCTTTTTCACATTGGAGTACAAGCATAATAAATATGAGAATTTTATTGGGGATAAGGAGCAGCTGAGATGCATTCTAATTAACTCACGATTTAAGGAGCCTTTTTTATCAGTCGACTGATGCGCAGAAGAATTGAGGCACGAACCGTCATCATCGCTATTCTCATCGTGCTGTGCTGGTGTCATTACTCGAAACCTACATAATTCAGACAGCGTCCAAGCTGATTCCATTAAAGCGCCAACCTTTAAATAAAATTCCATTCATCTAATCTAAACCATTGAAATTTCAAGCTTAAAATTTTGCGAAAAGTATGGAACCAGTTTTTAGCCTGCTTAATTGAAATGCCTTTACGCTGATGACAAGCTTTTCAAAATAAGCTCCAACCATTGGTGTTCCAGAGCTGAAGTTCAAAGCAATTGAGCCTGTCGTGTATATAGGATGTGACTTCGTCCGAACTTCGCAACCCTCAACCACTTCGGGTGATGCAAGATTTGAACTGCGACGCGCTTTTGAACGCATCCGCTCCCATAATTTCCGTCTTTCATTAAATGGATAAATACCCCTAGAAAAAGAGCAATTCATATCCGCAACAACAACAACCATATGCACCAAACAAGCTTTAATGGATCTAAAAACGGGATTTTCTCCTAATATCATAAAAATTAAGGACAAAAAATGGTGACATTTAACAAATAATAGGACAAAAAAAAAAGTACCACCAATAACAACTATTCGATTGTGTCTTCACTAGACAATACATCGGACATACATATAGTGATGCATATTTTTCGCCATCCGGTATTTCCATTAGTGGTGTTAATAGCACGTTAGCTACCTTCATACCACATGCTTCGCCATCCATAAATGATGCTACCCTATTCATATTTGTTACAACACATGCACGATATGCACATGATACTAAATCTACAAATTTTTCTTCATCCGGTGCCTGAAATAAAGCCGATAATATATAATAATTCAATTATAATTCATACAATCTTATACATCAACAAAAAAAAAATCTTTACAGAACAAAAATCTGTGCAGTACAACTTACATTAGTCAAAAGCTTGGTACCAAAGGGGTGCGCGGTCATTGAACCGTGCCCGTCATTCTTCCATGACCAACTATAGAAAAATCCATTATCGCCTAAAGCGATTAATTCACTATTCATAGCAGCTATTTTCACAAACTTCGTTACACCCGTCGGAAACATATCCTGCAGTTAAAGAAGTCAATCAGAAACATTAACAGTACTCAACAAAGTCGAAAGATGAAAGACTAAGTTAAGGAAGACTAAATCAATAAGTTATGCTAAAACTAAACAATATCATACAGAGAAAATGCTTTTAAATTTTGCTTTCAAAATTTTACAACGTCAACCATCAAAGGATCCTCTAATCGCCAGGTTTATACTCAACAGTGACGCGATTTTCACCAGAGAAAGACCCTTATTTTCAAATTTGGATGAAAACGAACTCACCGTTTCTTTACCCCAATACTGCAATTTTTCGTCATATTTTAAACGCGTATAAGTTTCGGAAGAAAATTCTTTTGCTTTGTCACTTTTTTTATCTGAAATAAAAGTGTCAAATGCAGTAAGAAAAATCACGAAAAATAAAAGATTTATGTGTAGTGAAAAAGCAATAACTTCTTATTCTTTTACTAAGCAGTTAAAAATTTATGGATGAATTAACCCCTATCTACTCGTCTTCGAGCAATATCCCTTGCTACAACATAATCAAAACTTTCGCCACTTGCATATAAATTGTCACCATCAATTACGGCACTCCCATGAGAATCACTTCGCAATCCAGCATCCAACAACGACAAAAGCTCCTCGGGGAGATACGCTTCAGAACCTTCATCCATTTCATCCCCTGAAAGCAAGATTTTAGGGTCGAAATGTGTTTTTTGCATGAACTAGAAAATTATACTCGCAATTAATTCTGAAGGAAACAGTTACCATCCTCATCATCACGGCTGAGCAGATTATTTACAGCTTCATTTACATTGAGATTCGTTCGCTGAAGCTCGCGTACAATAACCTCACGTGATTTCCCTTGTAAAACAACCTTAAACAGAAAAGCCAACAATAGGACAAATGCAACTAATTCATATCAGGATATTTTCATTTTCAATTGATTAAGACAGAAAATATCATTCCACATGAGAGAAAATATCACTCTATCATTCCTATGCACAATTTACAGAATTCAGAAATGATCACATTTCTCAGACCAGAACAATTCACCTGGGCTTGAGCAATGAGATCTTCGGGAATGGCACTAAGAGGGACAAGCGGTCGACTTCGATCAACAATCACACCCGCACGTTCGCCCAATGCACCTGCTGTCCGTCTCGCTGCCATCATTACCCGTCTAATTTTTGCACCACGACTTAATACTGAAAACAACAGAAAACTGAAATTACAACAACGCAAAAATGATCATTTCAAATTTGAGGAAAAATAAAGAAATGCTAGCCCAACCAACCTTTTGACCTTTTTTTTGGAAAAGAATAACTAACCAGTACTGGTAGATGAACCACTGCTACCTGTTGTAGGTCCGCTACCACTACCACTACTTGCCGAACCGACACCTCCGCCTGTTCCAGTTGAGTTTTTGTCATCGCTAGTGTTTTCCTCTTTAGTAGCAGTTGTTAAAGTGTATTTTAATCGAGCAACGCGACCACACTATAAAATAAATTAGAATGTTTTACTTCATACTATGAACAAATTCGAGAAAATTCAAGTGTTAACAAAATCCAGTTCTCGTCGATAAAAGTTCGAGTATTTCTTATCTTTGAATAAAATTACTGAATAAAAAACTGAAAATAAATGCATACCCTGAATAGAAATGCTACATGATTCGGGCCAACAACAAGCTGCGCAATACTATCAGCATCAATGTTAGCTAATGCTGCTGTTGATACAGCGCCATGCTGATTCCGAGCACTTGATGCCTCCTTTATACTGCAAAAAATACAAAAGATAGAAAGATTTGATCACTGCAACAACAATAGCTAATGACAACTAAAGCTAAGCTCCATTCTTGTTATTTCCGACAAAACTGTTATGGAAGAAGCTTGAATATAATTTATACCCCAATAAAAATTCAACAAAAACATGATAAACACTACTTGTGAATGAATAATCAATTACCGATCGATTAAATGATCCTCATTACTTGGAACTGGGAATGCAAACAAAAACAACTGCTTCTGGTCATCCATACGACTTTCCAATACCCACCAAGTCTTACTGAAATTATGAAATTTCAGATTCGTTGTTTGATTTGCTAATGAATCCAATTTGAACGAAATAGCTATATAACATTTTCTTCACTTTCATTAATAATTACATGCGTTCGCAAATTATTGCAAAGTGGAGCACTTTCTGGGAAAAAGTGTGAAGTTAGAAATCGTTACTACTACTATTGCAAAAACGATTACCGTTGTATTTTTAATAAGCAAACAAAATCCGGTACTTATCAAATCTTTATTCAGAATTAATTATCCTGAATAATGCTGAAGCATTCTTCTTTTTTACATGCTTATGCTGAAGCATAAGAATTTCCGGATCTCCTCAAACGTATGTGTTTAAGAGAATAACATATTTCGAAGTTTGCAAATAACGGAATTTCAACAGACTCAAACATCTATTCTAATCTCAATACTGCATATCAGATATGGCTGCAGTATTCGCATCAATCGAAGATATTACTGTTAATAAATCTTCTCTGGACCTTTGCCACTGAGTTGCTCGGTAACATTACTTTAAATGATAGAATTTACTTTGTTCTTACTTTAACCAGTAGCTTTTGTGAGATCCCAGAAGTTCGATATGCTTTGCTTCGATGTAATTTCAAACTAAACTCTGTTTTGCGTATAACAACTTTCACGCCCTTTTAATTACCTGAAAATAAGACACTTCTGAACAAGCATCTTCCCTGATAAATACACGTTATGATGGCGTGAAAATGATACTAACTGCCAAAGAAAGGGACAACTGTAACTCGTCTGGTTTTCACGATATAAGTGGTACATTATAATTTCATAAAGCAAAATAAAATTATCAAAGCACAACAACTGCTATTTGCCTTGTTATCAAAGTTCCGATATGATTTATGGGATAATGACGATTTATTCAAAGTTTCAGCTTTTCTTGAGTATTACGATTTCTACTCAAACGGAATTTTCCAGTGAAGTCGATAACACGTAAGATCACCAGATGTTCCACGACATATCGACTGAACAACTGAACAGTCGACATATTAACTGAAGCACTATCCCTTTTTTTTATCTATTATTATCTACCACAATCGAGTCACTTACACATTAACTGCAAACTTCGCTAACATAATGTTCTGCTTTAAACGATTACGAGTAATTAACAGCACCGGCTGACAAACCTTGGATAGAAGACCAATTCCGGAAATAGCTGTAACCCGACTAATTTCAACTATCTGATGGGGAAATACCCAAATTCTAAGAAACTAAAGATCATGCAAGATCATTTTTGCTTCCCCCACTATGGTTTTGATATCGATTGGTTGTAATATAATGTCAGATATTGTTAGATTGATCTATTCTAACTATCACTTGCCTTTACGTTTTCATCTGAAACTTGCAACACACGTACGTCTGCCAATGATATTTTTCACGAAGGTGCACGATATCTATAAAATATATAAGAGAATATCAGAGGATGATTAGAAATGAAATTTGGGATAACTATCTCCAATGTAATGTGATATGAGAAAAGAAGGAATGAATGGAACTGATTACAACTATCCAAGTATACTGACTAGTTTGCAGGAAGGTTTATACACAAATTTATGATATCACTAAATCATGAATTCATCTCCTAGGAGACCATTATTCTGAATGCTAAAATAGTTTTTCTAAGAATGACAAGTAAATCATTTGATTATTTCCCGATTTCTCGTTGCTTCCAAGATTTCTCAATATAAATCACCCAAAAAATTGCTAGTTGAATGGAACATGCTACCGGGTGCAATCCTTTCCTTTGTTTCGCATTTTCACGATATCCTAAATAAAAACGATGATAGCAGGATAAAATGCACAAGTCGTTTCGTTGCTCCACGTTATCATTTGACGCATGCCTACACCTACATACGCATACATACACACACACACACATACACATACAGACATACACAGACACACATCTCCCTGTGTACATAGCCACTCGCATCCTGCACTTAAGCCTATTTGCTATCACTACTATTGTTACTATTTTTATTGCCATTACTATACTATTACTACTTCTATGTATTTCTACGATTACTAATCAAATGCTGCATGCTATTATATTTTATGTCACAGTTAAATGCATTTTACCTTAATGCAATAATCGTATCTTTATATTACAATTAAATGCATTTACGTTGGAACAAAGCATTGTTTACCTGTTTACCAGTTATGCTAGCATTATACACGTCAACTTTTACCATTGAGAAACTTTATTTTTCAATATTTCAGCAGTGCAAATTTCAGAGAATCTAAAATTAGCAAATAATCACATAAAATATGCACTCTTCACATACTTTATGCTATTGTGTACTTACCTTACCTTGCATGCACAACTCATCCAAACATCATGCGCTATTCATCAAAATGCCACAACAAACACCATTTAGATGGGTTAACGAACTGGGATTGCAGTTTTCAAAACGGGTATTCGTCGGGCTATTCGTTGTAGCATCGGAATGAATGCAACAAACCAGTGCAATACTTCGTCTCGCTGCATAGATGCATTGCTGCTATTTCTAATTCATTTTTCTTCCTTTTTATTATATTCTATTCCTAAACTATCTGATTCTATTCTGTTCTCATTTTGATTATTTCTTTTTTTTTTTCCATCTCTTCTTTCTTCTCTTACGTTAGTATTAATATTTTCAGTTAGGAAATTTTCCTCTCTTCCAAAATTTTCCAACTGTTGGAATAATTTTTATGATGGAGTGATTGAGATCCAGGAAGTCTCAGGAAAATTTAGAGTGATTGAAGTGCAAAAAGTCTCGAGAAATTTTGATGCTTTTATTGTGTAGCAAATAGTTTTGTTAATTTATTCGAGAATTGCAGTGTTATATTAATTAATTTGATTTTGTTACACTTAAATTTTATGCACTTTTTTTTTTCCTTTTAAATTTTTCAAACTTAGATTCAACTCTCTAAAAATAATTTTTTTATTTCAAATTATTTATATTATTTGAAAATGACAGTTATGAATAGGAGTAAAACATAAGTTATGAAAAGAGTATAATTTTTCTTTGCTTTTCAATCGCTGTCATTTAATATCCTTTTTTAACTTTTTTTTTTTTCTTTTTGAAATTATCTATTGAACAAAACAGCATAAGTTATAATCACTGTTCATATTAGTACTTATAAATATTTTCGTTAACATTTTTCAACTACTTTTAAGTGAGCAAAATTTTAGCAATGTTAAATGATAAAAAACAATATTTAAATATTATCTTGTTTATTTATAAAATAATTTATTTGCAATTATTGCAAATAATAATTCATATATTTAACATATCAATAATTTTTATGTTTGTATTTTCTATTTATAATGTATACACATTTGTAGGCGGTTTCAATCAAAAAATTAGGACAAATTTTGATGTTAGATCGAATGTAATGTATTGTTAATTACAAATGAAAAATTAATTATAAATGGCTATAGCATGCTATATATGCATTTAATTAATTATATTTATTGACAGAAAAAATAAGCAAGCAAACATGTGAAAATTAATAGAAAATTTGTAAATATAGCAAAATGATAACATATCACAATAATGATAACCGTTATCATCAATAATTATTGATATGAACAAAATATAATTCCATCTATCAGTACATTTCCGTTATATGTTTTCCTTCTTTTTAATTAATATTTGTTCTATTATTTTATTTATTTTTTTTTGATAATAACATATAGCAGTGAGATGTAATTAACTTGGCAAATAAATTATTGTTCCTTATAGCTTTATTGTTTTCTTTAAGTTTATTAATTTAATTTTAATATAACATAAAATTGAATTGGTAATAATAGAACAAATATTCAATTAATTAGGTTGATTGATTAAAATTTAAAGTATTTTGTTAGTCTCATAATTCTGAGTCATTCATGATAATGGATTCTTAATTTTTTTATTTTTTATTTTTTTTTGAAACATACTGATAACAGCTAGTTTGAATATTTAGTTAACAATTAGTTAATGAACATTTATTGAGTACAAAAAGGCAGTGCTAACATTCTTAATATCTTTTTTTAATGAATTAAAATGAGAAATATGAAAGATTCAGTTTAGAGAGGGAATGAAACTAATCCATCATAATTAATATTCTGGAAATATTTCATTAATTTAATATCAAATTAATTAAGTAATTATTATTTAATATCAGCATAGAAAAAAATTGTTTAATTAAGCTAATAAATATTAATTAAGCTAGCAATTTGAATCTATAATTTGGAAGAATTATTTGAGAAATAAAACTGAATAGGTAATTTCATACAATCAATTGTTGTTGTATTATTATTATTATTATTATTATTATTATTGTTGTTGGTTGTTGTTGCAATAATATGAATCATTCATATTATTTTTGAAATTAATTGATAAAGCAGTGCTAATTGAATGATGTTCATTATCACAGCCATTATTTATATTGCTACAATCAGTATCAGTATGATTTGAAGTATTTTTATTATTAAATTGATTACTTTGATTGATTGTATCCAAGTGAAGTTTTAGCTTTGGTGCATGACAACTTGCATGACGGAATTCGATTGCAAAAGTAAGAATGTAAAATTCGAAACAAATTGCTAGCAACCATTCCGAGCAAGTAGCAATCATATGTTCCACATAATGCTATACTTCAAATAAATTATGAATTGTTTGTTTCTTTTCTTTTTATTATTAATATATATATATATATATTTTTTTTAAATTAATTTATTAATTATTTAATAATTGCATGAGAGCATATCAAAACTTATTACTGTTATTATTATTATTATTATTATTATTATTATTATTAATATTTTTAAAATTAATCTATCAAATTATTTAATATCTATTAGTTAGCAATTAGTTAATGAATATTTATTGAGTACATCTATTACATTTAATCGATTAAATTATTTAAAAAAGAAAAAAAAAAGAAAAAAACTTATTTAAAAATTGGATGGAAAAAATATTTTGTTTTTGTTTTAAATAATGCTATATTTTAATTACATTTAATAGGATGGATTATATTCTCACATAATGCTATATTTTAAATAAATTATGAAATTTTATCAAACTAATAACTAAATAGTTAATTTAACTAATAACACTTAATTAATAATTAATTAATTTTTTTTTTGCTTACCGGACTTTCAGGTGTCCATTTATAGAGTTGTTTACGGCCGAACCAATTTTTTGGCTGTTGACCAAGTATTGTTCCAAATATTCCCACTGAAAATTACAATTTAATTGTGTGTAAATACTAATTTATTAAAATATTTTGATACTAGTATTTTATGGATAAAATTCATAGGAATTAAGTATTCGAAATTTAAATTATCTGAAGAAATTTATCTCAAAATTTAATTGGAACAAAGTTATTGGAAATGTATGAAGAAAAATACTAATTTATTAAAAATATTTGTTATATATTGTTATATATTAATTACCCTTATTTATTTTGAAAATAATTAGACTTTAAAATTTTACTAGATTTCATAAAAATCAGAATATTTAAAAGATTTTGAAAGGAAAAAAAAATTTTTTTTGTAGTATAATTTTTGTTGATCGTTTATTTTACCTCAAAAGAAGTTTTTAATGATTTAGTAAAATTAATAAGTTTTGTTTAATTTTTTTTTTTAAATTAATTTATCAATATTTTATTAGACCCAAAAAAGAAAAAAGAAAAGGAGAGAGAGAGAGAAAAAAAAAAGGTGCTATTTTTACCAGTAATGAAGAAAATAGTTGATAAACAGCTTAGAAATAAGCGACAATGTGGTATTGCAGATTTTGCAAATCTTGGCTGCATCCAATAACTAAAAAGTGTCTGGGCCCAAGTATATACTAGGCCACATCCAAAAGCCATCAATGCACCGATATAATGAACCATAACAAGGCTCATTTCCTACAAATTTCAAATTTTTTTTTTTAAATTTTATAGTCGAGAAATTTATTAATTATTTGGAGAAAAAAATGAACGAAGTTGTAGATAAATGATGCTTTTAAGAAATAAAAATTAATTTTAATTAATTCTTTTAAAATTAATAAAAATTAAATTTTCCATCACTGATTGAAAAAATTTTGAATTACAAGAGTAAGACTACAGGAAGTAGTAATAATTTATACTTTGCAAAACTTTGATTGGTAATTTACTGGTGTAAAAAATGAAATTTATAGTAAGAATAATCGAAATAAATGTAGGAAAAATTATCTCAAAATATTTTATCAATTTTATCTTATCAAATTAGTGATTAAAATTGTTATCATACTTGAAAATTGCCAATCAAACTGACACCAAATGCTGAGAAATATCCAAACCATAAGTATATGGTACTATAGTTTCGCCAATTTCCATTTTTCTGTAAAGTAAAAGCAATTCAAAGAATTCATATTCAGGAAAAAGGAAAATAAAATTTAATTTTTTTTTTTTTTTTTCACTGATCGTTGAAGCATTTATAAATTTATCAGTTATTATTTGTAAAAAGTAAGTTTAATAAGTTTAAAAGTAAGTTTAAAACTCAAAAATAGAATATTTACATTTAGAACTACCAAAAAAAATATTTGCTATTTAAAATCATAATTACTCTCATCAAAAATTTCAAATCTTACAATTTCAGAACTTTTTTTTTAAAAAATTTTTCTGGATGGAATATTAAATCATTCATTTTTAAAAAACTTAAATAAAAAATGCTCTATGATATGCGATAGATTAAGCTTAAATGATTTTATGGATGAAAAAAAAAAAAAAAAAAAAGGAAAAAAGAAGAAAATCAAATAAAAATTTGTTGAAATAATCATCATAATCATAATATTAAATAAAACATATCAAATAATCAAAAATTTGTTAGAAAAAAAAAAAAACGATAAAAAAAAAATTAAATTTTTTAATTATGCACGTCTATTAAGATTTAATGCATTATTTAAATTTATAAATTTTTAAATTATTAAAATGCACATTTATTAAAATTTAATGCATTATTTAAATTATTGAAATTCACACTTATAAGAATTTAATATATTATTTTATTTTAAATTTTTAAATTATTAAAATGCACATTTATTAAAATTTAATGCATTATTTAAATTATTGAAATTCACACTTATAAGAATTTAATATATTATTTTAATTTATAAATTTTTAAATTATTAAAATGCACATTTATTAAATTTAATGCATTATTTAAATTATTGAATTACACTTATAAAATTTAATATATTATTTAAATTTATAAATTTTTAAATTATTAAAATGCACATTTATTAAAATTTAATGCATTATTTAAATTTATAAATTTTTAAATTATTGAAAAAATATCATTTCATTTTCTAACAAAAAAAAAAAATATTTCATTGCTAAAATACAAACCTGTTTTAAATGATGCCAATAAAATTCAATAAGTTGTCGATGTCTTAAATATGCAGTTATTGTAACTGAAAAATTAAAATTAAATTTTCTTAATTAAAAAATGAAAATAATTAGCTTTTAGAACTTTTTAAAATTTCTGTTTTTTTTTTCAAATAAATTTAACATTTGTAAAAAGATTTTGCAAATTTTAATGTAAATATGAAATTTAGTTTGTGTAAAAATTTAAATGAGAAATGAAAGCATTTATGCAATTTAAACTTAATTAAATATATTTAAAATTGATGAATAATTTTTTTTTTAAATTTTAGTACATAAAAAGAAAGAATGAAAAAAGCAAATATTAAAGTATTTATTCATTTGATTAAAATTAATCAAAATTTTTGATAAAGTAATGGGACAAAAAAAAAAAAAAAAAAAAAAAAAAGTAAATAATAAAATTGAAATAAAACTTGCAAAAAACAGCAGATAAATTAAGAAGTTGCCCAAAAATACAACTTTCTGGCGGTAATGTACCACTGTCACTAAAATTGAAATTTTTTTTGTTTGCAATAAAAATTTAACAAAAATTGATTAAAATTAATTGAGTACTTTTTTTTTTAAAAAAAATGAATATTTTAAATGATTAAATTAAATTTTTAAATTTAAAAATGATGCAATATTTTGCTGATAAAAATTTTAAAATTTAATTTTAAATAATGATTTAAATGAGTTGAAGAGAAATTTAAATCGTTGATTATATTTGATACAAAATTATCAATTTTAACATTAGATTAATTTATGAATTAGAATGTCTTTTTCAAATTAAAACAAATCACAAAATTGTTCATTTGTTGAATTAAATTTTTATTGATAAATGATAATTCAAATTATTAGTAATTGATGATAATTTTGATTCATAAATGATTAGAATGCAAAAAAAAAAAAAAAAAAAAAAAGTAAAACTAAAATTTTTGGTATTCAATTCTTAAACTTTTTTTTTTGTTTTTACGATTCATAAATATGTCAAATATTTGTTTGTATTATGTAAACTTAAAAAAAAAAATAAAATATTTTGTAAACATACTCTATCATATTGCTAAGTAAATTGTTTTCATTTCTTTCATTCCACAAATAATTACGCTTAATTGATTATTGTATGAATTAATTCATTATTTATATGAATTAATTCATTATTGTATGAATTAATTGATTATTGTATGAAATAATTGATTATTATATGAATTAATTGATTATTATATTAATTAATTATTGTATCAATTGATTACTGTATGAATTAATTGATTATTGTATGAAATAATTGATAATTATATTGAGTGATTATTGTATGAATTAATTAATTATTATTATTAAATTGATTATTGTATGAATTAATTGATTATGATATTAATTAATTATTGTATCAATTGATTACTGTATGAATTAATTGGTCATTGTATGAAATAATTGATAATTATATTGATTGATTATTGTATGAATTAATTAATTATTGTATTAATTGATTATTATATTAATTGATTATTGTATGAATTAATTGATTATTGTATGAAATAATTGATTACTGTATGAATTAATTTATTATTATATTAATTAATATTAATTAAGTATCAATTGATTACTGTATGAATTAATTGATTATTGTATTAATTAATACAATTATTATTATATTAGTTACTTATACAAAAGTTATGATTCTTATATGAATAGAGACAAATGAAATTTATAAATTTTCGAAAAAAAAAATAAATTTTTTTTTTCAAATTCATTTTAAGTGATTCGATTCTAAAACAAAATACATTGATTTCAATTGAAAATGATGTTTAGTGTTAAAATATATTTGAATTAAATAATTTTTACCTAATATATGGCCAAAATGCTGTGATATGCTTTTCTGATAAGGCTATACAATACCTGCAAAATTAATATTAATAATAATAATTAAATATTTGCTTAAATATAAACTACGAATATAATTTATCAATATTTTATCAGATATCAGTGTAAAATTATTTTTAATTTCATAAATAAATTATTCAAAAATGATAATTAAATATTTGCTTAAATATAAACTACGAATATAATTTATCAATATTTTATCAGATATCAGTATAAAATATTTTTAATTTCATAAGTAAAATATTCTACTCTAATTTATCTGTCTTTTTTATATAACATTTTTACTATTAATAAGTATTTTTTAGCATTTCGAAAAATTCTATCCCAAAATTCTATAATTAACCTAGAATTAGGAAGCTTACAGTAGTTTTGATATTTTAAAATTCTCACAAAATAAATGAAATAAAAATTAAATAATGCAGTTAAGGACAAAAGTAGTAATACTTATTATAATTTAGTAATACTTCAATATAACCCCAATTAATACAAAATATTGTGATTTATATTAAAATTGTATTCTAACCTTAAATCATTCCTGAAATTAAAATTTGCTAAAAATATTATGAACGAATAATTTTTTTTTTAATTTATGAATTTTAATCAAACATTAATAAATAATCAAATAATAACTTACGAAACAATAAAAGCAGAAAAGCTAAAGATAGATGTAAATAATGGAATAATCCAAACTTTTTTTAGTACCATTCTACCTTCTGCTTCATTTCTTTTTTTTTTTTTTTTTTTAAATTTCAAATTGAATTTATATTAATTTCTTCTCGTCTAAAATAAAATCTGAAAAGAAATTAATCCACCATAAACAAATAGCACAATGATTAATGATTAGATCAATTTATTGAAAAAAAAAAAAAAAAAAAATAAATAAATAAAATGAAAATGGACAAAAAAGAATGAAAGTAAAATAGGTCAATTTTCAGAATTAAAATAAATAAATAAACAAATAAATAATTAAATAATATATATATGTGCATTTTATTATTACTTACCAAATTAAAAATTTAACTAAAATTAAATTTTTTTTTTTTATAAAAATTTAACAAAAATTTAACAAAGACAAAATTATTTGAAAGCAATTAATTATTAGATATTAACTGAAAGCTAGGAAATGAAATTTGTTAAAACAATTTTGTTTGAATAATTTTTCCTATAATTAAATTAGTAACTTTTATTTTATTTTATGTTTTTTTATAATTTACTTTTTACTTCCAAACAATGATTACTTTTTTTAATTTATACAATGATAAAACATTTAAATATAATCACTTACTTATGATTCATATATATTAGAAAAAGTTAATTATTACTTTTTAAAAAATTGATTAATTCGTTTTTCAAATAAATTATTTAACTGCATCAATCAATAATGGTAATGATGAATACGAATTGAAATTTGAAATGAATTAGCTTAAAATTGGAAATTGAAATGAATAAGGTTAGGATTAAAATCAAAATTTGAAAATATGTATAACTTAGCAGTGCATTAAAACAGTTATTATCATTTTATTAATTATTATTGCGATAATAATTAGAAAATAGTAAAATAAAATTGTAAGTAAATAAATAGAAAATAGTAAAATAATACTTATCCTAATTTTCAATAATTTTAAAGTTTCATTTTCAATTTT